TGAACAAGTTTAATAACAAAACCAGACTCACGAAACCAAGGTTCCAGCGGAGTAGCCGGCAGAGACAGGAGAGGAAGGGAAGGGGCGCGCAGCCTCTGCCCGCCCAATATATCAGTAAACATACGCCCGAGGGCAGCCCGCCCCCAAGGGGAGGGCTTATCCCTACATGCCTCATGCTTGGCCATTAATAAATTTCATTGAATGAAAAACTGCAAAAGCTTCATTGTTGGCTTAAATATTGTAACACTAAACTATTTCTAATCAATCAATTAGCACCTTCTAAAATGCTTGGGAGAGACATGTTTTATTCACTTTATTCTCAGAGCCCCTAGGAGAGAGCCAACCAATGTGATGATATAGTATGGAAAATGTGGGTGTCTTAGGCTAAAAAGTATTTTTTTTTGTTTGTTTGTTTCTTATTTTTCTGGTTTTTTTTTGAGACAGGGTTTCTCTGTAGCTTTAGAACTTGTCCTGGAACTCGCTTTTGTAGACCAGGCTGGCCTCGAACTCACAGAGATACACCTGCCTCTGCCTCCAGAAGGCTGGGATTAAAGGCGTGCGCCACCACCGCCCAGCTAGAAGTATTTTTTAAATGGCACAAGAAAGTGGTATGGGAGCCACACAGTAAATGGCCTGACTCTTAATCAGTGCCGTACCCACTCGTCTTGTGACTTTAAGACATAAAATGGTAGGGTGGTGGCACATGCTTGTACCCAGTGCAAGGCAGGAGGGGTCCACGTTTGAGGCCAGATTAGGGAACACAGTGAGTTCATAGGCCAGCCTGGGCTGATTTCATAAAACCAAAAAGAAAACAAGAGTAAAGTGTTAAGAGTCTTTATTTCATTTTTATTGAAGTGTATCATACAGACAGAAATCATCTAGCTACAAGGACAGTTTGAAGATTTTGCAAAGTGGACCTCCTGAGGCACTCAGCAGCCATACACTTTCCAAGACTGATTCCTAACATTCTAGGTTATTTTTGTCTAGACTCTTTGGAGTCTGTCTACTTTGATGCCATTTGATACCTGCAGCCTATAACTGAATATTACTGCATGTAAGTAAAATGTATTCTTTGTCATTGATGCTGTGTATAGTGCATGAATAGATCACACTTCGCCTAATGTTGTTTCTTTTGGATAGTTCCTAGTTTGAGTTGTTGTAAATGGTATTATCTGTTTGTTTTAAATATTTGTGAACCTTAAGCTTTTATAAATAATAATTCTTAAAAGCTTTATTTTTAGCTGGGCAGTAGTGGCATATGCCTTTAATCCTAGCACTTGGAAGGCAGAGGCAAGCAGTTCTCCGGGTTCTAAGACAGCCTAGTCTACAGAGTGAGTTCCAGGGCAGCCAGGGCTGCACAGAGAAATCCTGTCTTGAAAATCTGCCCCCGCAAAAAAGACTTATTTTCATTTTTAATTATATGTGGTGTGAGTGTGTGTGTGTGTGTGTGTGTGTGTGTGTGTGTGTGTGGAGGCCAGAGGAGTTGGATTCCTGGAGTTGCAAGTAGATGTGAACCGCATGATAGATAGTTGCTGGGAATTGGGTCTTCTAGAAGAGCAATACATGTTTTTTTGTTTTGTTTTGTTTTGTTTTGTTTTGGAGACAGGGTCTATATAGCCCTGTATGTCCTGGAACTCAGTATGTAGACCAAACTGGTCTCAAACACACAGAGATCCACCTTCCTCTGCTTCCCAAGTGCTAGGACTAAAGGCATGTTCTGCCATACTCGTTCCAAATCCTTAAGCAATTTTATTTAAATTTTTCATTACATTTCTTTCATTCTTTATTTGTGAGGGGAGACTGGGGATACACATGGAAATCAAAGGATAATTTGTAGGAATTGATTTTCTTCTTCCATTGTGTGGGTAGGTGCTTTGATTTTATGTGTATGGGTGTTTTGCCTGTGTATTTGTCTGTGTACTGTGTGTTGGTACCTGTAAAGGTCGGAAGAGGGCATCATATACCCTGGAACTGGAGTTACTTGCCATATGGGCACTAGGGATTGAACTCAGGTCTTCTGGAAGAATAGCCAGTATTCTTAACCACTGAGCCATCTCTCCAGCCCCCACAGTCTTTTGCCACTGCCCCTAACATAGTCTGGCATTTCTCTACTTTTCTCTGAAAATGATTTGAAATTTCAGTTCCATTTGTTCAGGAGCGCCATGGCCCATGTTGTCTTGATTCCTGGGTTGACTCGTAGCACTGTGGGAGCCATCTGCACACAGGCTTCGTGGAGATTGACAGCCAGCACTTGGCGGCACCTTACTCTAACCAGGTGAGTTGTCGGCCTTTGCTGCCATTTGGGTTGATTCTCGAACCCTGATCTCCTGATGGTTTGGGAGGTCCTTTAAGAGAGGCAGCATCCTGGCTTCAGTGTGCATGCTATCAGATCGGAAATGAGTGGGCGTTTTAGCACTGGCAGAGGTTCGCTATTTTATAAAATCTACAATTAATCACATTTTTGATAGCCATGGTTTTTGGCAGGGGAAGCTAGTTTTGTTATGTTATGAGGATAATGTTTACTAATCTAATTTTACCTTCTTTTAAAAAGCATAATGAAATCCAGAAGGAAAGCTGATCACTTGGAGAGAACTGCAAGTGTCCTCCGACGGGAGGTCTGTATCCCTGGGGCGTGGTGGGACAATCAGGGAAATTTTATTTTCCTCCCCTGGAATGTCCTCAGCAGGGGATAGGATAGCTGGTTTGGAAGCAGTGGCTGAGCGGTATTAAGATTTTCCACTAAGTTTGGTGTGAACAGGCTGTTTTGGTAAGGGGGCACAGACGGGACTAGGCGCCCTCCACACAGGCACATTGAGGGCCTGCTGTAGGAGAGGGAACGTAGGGCCTCTACACATGACGAATGGCTTACCTTTTTTTCTTTTTTTGCCATCATGTCTCAAAGTCCTTGTTCGCCCCACTGTAGAAGCTCCTCCTAGCTCGTCAGAGCAGCACTGACAGTTGAGACAGGAAGGTGGACGAGCTCACTGCCCTTCCCCTGCAGACTGTCAGTCATACTCAGGCTATAGAAAGCTAACCTGCCAGCTGAAGGGTGCCGAGGATCCTCACCCTTTACCTCAGTGAGTAACCCTGTTTCCACTTAAAAACGCGCAGTGAATGCTTGCCTTTACTTTTTCAGTTGTTTCGCACATAGTCAGCTGTATTTAGTTTAGTATTAGAAGTCCGTGTGAGGCAAGATAAATCCTGTTTTTATGCACTTCCACAACGTGACCAGGCATATTGCCTCCGTAGTGTGTGTGTTAATACCAGGAGACTCTTTAACATACAGGTATGTTGCTAGGCCCTACTTTGAAAACTTAGTTCTCCTTTAGAGTTGCCTCGGTGCTAAAGGTAATCGCTGATTCCTTTGATTGTCTTCTTTTTGAGATGTAGAACGAGTTCAGCAGAGTAAGTTTATAGGTATATGGGAAACTATCCTTTTCCCGTTGATAAATCTGAAAAGATTTTCAACACACAAAAAGTGTTAGCTGTATAAATGTGAAGCTTGTTAATGATTTCTTCTTGAAAGTGAAATCCCATCAGTTGTAAATTAAAAATGGTTTTGATCGCAAACATGTATGTACTCTTTTTGTGGCATGTGGAGAGGTAGATAAATTAGAGTGATATTGGCAAACTTTATTCAAAGGTCTAGGTTGTTAGTAATTCCATCACTAAACCAAAACCAGGCTACCTATGATTCAGAAGAGCAGCAAGGACAGGAAGATTGTGTAGGCTAAGGGAACTCATTTCAGGAGAGGAAGGAATGGAAGGCAAGGTTTTGCAATACTTTAAAGACTTTCTAGTTTGCTCCCATGGAATAATTGATAGGCTACAATGGATACGTGGTTCCAGTCCACCACATTGTACTGGTCCTTGTCATCCATGCCCATAGTTCCCCTGGGATGTGCTGTGCAGTGGCATATATAATAATAAATGGATGAAGCGCAATATATGATATAAAATAAATTAATGCAATAAAGTAGGTAACAAACAATATGCACTTACTATGAGCCAGCAGCATTAGAAGTGCTTTTGTTTGTATTCGCGACATCAGTGCCCCCAGTAGCACTGTGAGGCAGGGGTGTTACTGGTTTCAGTTCCTAGTTGAAAGTGGCTGGGACATTTGCCCTGGGTGACATGGTGGTCAGCGGTGTTGCCAAATTAAAGGGGGGGCCATCTCGCAGCAGAGTCCATTCTGTTAGCAGCTGTGTTTTCTTCTTTCCATAGTTTCTTTCTAAGCTGCTCAAGATAAAGCCAGTGGCATTGTTTATCATGTCTGATGAACAGGAAGGTGCTAAAGAAAGGATTGATGTGAAGAAAGGGCTAGCTGGTAGCTGCTTAGAGAGCAGTATAGTGCACAGATAGGGTGAGGATCAACAGTGTATGTAGAAAGGACATTGCCTGGTGGCACACATCTGTAATCATAGCGCTGAGGTAGACATAGCAAGTTCCAGGCCAGCCTGTCCTGTGTAGAGAGACCCTGTCCCCCCCCTCTTTTTTAAGGTATAGTCTTTGGGGCTGTCATAGAAAATCACCCACTTATTCTCCAAGACAGGAAGAAGAAGGGATTAGCTACAACGCAAAGAAAGAGAGGAAAGGCATTTTACAGCAAAGGATGGAAATTTTAGGAGCTATGTTGAGGTAGTGAGACTTTTCTACTGCATTGTGAAGTCATCTCCCCATTGAGAGTTGGTTGGGCCTGGAAGTCCAGTTGAAAAAAAGGCCAAAGTGAGCTAGCATCAGGATAGGAAGTTTCCAGAGCATCTCCTGGTGGGGCTGGTTGGGAGTCCTCTGTTAAAGGGACTGCATTTGATCATCTGCCCACTGCCCAGGTGGCATTGCAGAGAAGGAATCTGAGGGGAGCTGTGTCTGTCTTCAGCCCTTCCAACAATGTCCCAGCTTTAGGGGAGAAAGAGAGGTGCAGAGCAGAGGTAGAATAAAGGAAGTGAAGACGTTTTTGCAGTTGATGGGTGCTAAGGCACGAATCACCCTTCATGACTTGTTCCCTAGGCACTCCGCTTGGAAGTTTTCAGAAAGTGCATTGAGAGCTGTGCTTCCCAAGCTCCCAGTAGGAAAGGGCTCTGTGTTCTTGCTTTAAGGTCATGAACTGCTTATCTTTTGGAAAAATATAATAAGTTAGAAAAAATTTAAGAAATAAACATTCAAGCAAGGCATGGTGGTACACACCTTAATCACAGCCCAAGGCAAGGTGGGTGAGTTCAAGACCAACCTGACCTCAGTAGTCCCAGGCCAGTCAGAGCTACAAAGTGAGTCCCTGGCTCACAAAGCCAGAAGTGCATGAGTACAGACCCAGGTTACTGGTTCTTTGCTCTTTAAACAGTGCTAGCTGCTTTCTGTGAAAGTCTGCTGTTAGCATCTGTGGACTTCTTCCTCAAAAGCAACTATGGCCTCACCTGGCCCACTACTGAGGGGGATAGTAGATGCTGAGCAGGGTTGCTGAGGGCTTCCCACTCAACAGTGCTCTTCGGGGTACCTAGCCCAATGCACAGGTGGATACTAGTTACACAGTTCCTGTAAGGGATGATTTGTATTCGGAATAAAATAGAGTTGTAGGAGTCTCGTAGAGTTCGTGTGGTTTACCACCTGATAGAGGGCAGAGCAGAGCAGTGTGTGCTTTGCCTTGTTGGGCAGTTCCGTGTTTCTAAGCCCCGAACCTCTTTGCTGATTCAGGTCATGGCTACAGCTAAGGTGTGTGACATTGCCCAGGAGTCTCCATCAGTGAAGAGCCTCCGTTTGCTTGTCGCTGATAAAGACTTCTCTTTTAAGGCTGGCCAGTGGTGAGTGGTGGCTTCTTTTCCCTGTAAGATAAGAGGTGTCACATTTTCTTCTGGAAAGGACTTCTATGGGTACCTGCCCCCCACTAGAAGAGAAGGATTCTGGGTCATTTCAGTTTGGGCATATCTATTTGAGACGAGTCTCTCATTGAACGTAGCTCTCAAGATGATTAAAAAAAAAATGATGAGGACAGATGTTAAGCCAACCTTGTAGTCTCGGAATTTTTATTTGAATAGACAGTGGTCCATAGCAGTGGGTCAGGACCCTTAACAGGGGTTGCTAAGAACATCAGAAAACCCAGATATTTACATTACAATTTATAACAGTAGCAAAGTTACAGTATTGAAGTAGCAACAAAATAATTTTATGGTTGGGGTCATCACAACCTGAGGAACAGAGTTAAAGGGTCACGGCAATAGGAAGGTTGAGAAACACTGGGTCTGTAGTTTTCAGTGTCTTTGATATCAGGGTGATAGCAGCTTCATTAGAGTAAGTTCCAACGTGTCTGTTCTCCTGTTTGGGGTGGTTTCTGGAGGATTGGCATCGGTTCTACTCTAAGTGTGTGGTGCAGCTCACCAGGGATGCCATCTGAACCAGAACTCTCTTTTGTGATGTTTTATTAATTCAGTCCTTTGAGTTTATGTAGATCTGATGAGGTTTTTCTGTTTCTTCTTGTGCCATTTTTGATAGTTGATGTCTTTTTAAGTAATATGTGGTTCATGTAAGTTAGCTTTTAACATAACAGTTCTTCAGAAAATTCCTGAAGAATTCTCTTTATTTTGTTTAAGATTGCTTACAAATCTTTTATTAAATTAGAAGTTTATATTTTTTAGTCTAACTAAAATCTTGTCCATTTGTTTTTTTTGCCTGCTGTTGACAGTCTTCTTAGCTACTACAACAGGAATGGTTTGTTTGTCTGTCCTTTCAGGGTTGATTTCTTTATCCCAGCAGTCTCTGTCGTTGGTGGGTTTTCAATTTGCTCCAGTCCCCAACTGCTAGAACGAGAGAGAATAATAGAGTTGGCAGTGAAATACACAGACCACCCTCCTGCTATCTGGGTTCACAAGAAGGTAAGCAAAGACCTTTTAAGAAAAACCTTTTCTTAGATTTATTTAATTTTATGGTATGAATATTTTACCTGCATGCTTGTGTATCATGTTGTTGAGGACTGACCTTGACAGACATACTTTTTACCAGAGTAGGGGCATGGGAATTGAAGACATATAAGTAAAGAATATGAAGATACATAGAAATAATAAGACAGAAAACATAGAAAGTATCGGGAGGGCATTCCAGTTACTGATATCCTGAAATTCTACCCACATTTATTTTTCCACGGTTTTTATATCCAACATAGACTTTATTAACATAATACAAAGGATAACTCACCCAGTCAGTGGCTTTATTACTTTGAGACATCAAATCATTAGCATTCTGTTGTCTAGGTAGCTAAGAAAACCACCCTTCCCCAGGTGACCTCATAGTTACTAAAGAAGGAGCAGAAGTATGTTTGCATATCCTGACCGCCTGGCAGGATGGCATGGACCTACTAGAATGAGCTCTCTTAATTTCAAAAGAACCAAGCAGTTGCCTCCTGAGCTAGGAGGAGCAACTAACTGTGCTTGTCAATCTCCAAACTCTCTGACCTGACCAGCAGGTGGAAATCATTGACAGTCACAAAAAGAGAACAGAAAGCAAAAACTAACTTTATTCTCATTGCTGTGTTTGTAAAGGTTGCAGAGTACTTTCATGTGGGAACTACAAGTAAGGCTAGGAGGGAAGCCAGTAGTAGCAGATCTGGCCAGAACAGCAGCAAAAATGCATAGGAAGTAGACACGTGGCACTGTCCCACACAAACAGCGGGGGGGGGGGGGGGGGGGGGGGGGGG